TAAAAATTACGAAGAAGAAAATGGTTTGTCAAGTTTACCTACTTGTATTTATCGAAAATGGCAGACCAACTATGCGAAAAACAAACAGGTATCCTGTTATTTCTAGGCGCAGCTACAAAAGATGGATGAAAAAAAGAGAGACAAAAATTAATATCTCAAGAACAGTAAAACTTTTACTAGGGTCATTTTTTGAGATGTTGTAGACCTGCCCTTCGTGTACCATCCCTATTTTTTTGTCGTAATATTTACCGGTGTTCCAAAAGTTTTCGACCCGCCACACGTACCAGAAATTATTAGTGAAACAAAAAGGTATGCCGTCAAGTAGATTGACTCTATACTTCGCCTTCGTTGGAGGTTTCAAACAAAGGGGATGAGTCAAATCGTTTCAACAAGCGAAGTTGAATCATAATTAGGTAGGTTCACTTAGATACGATGAATCTTCGGCCTCTGCATATCAAACTATATAAAGTAAATCTATCCGATTTCTGTTTCCATAGCAGATGTAGGGACATTATATGACTTGCGTCTAACAGGTACATAGTATCACTGATATCAGCAGCCTCTTAATAATAGAAGGTCTTTCACTGACACCAAATATGCAACAATTTACAATCATCCACCGCATACAGCCTTGACACCTTGACCATGACCTTGATCATTGCCATGACCTTGACCATGACCTTGGGCATGACCTTGATTATGAACATGTCTTTGACCATCATTGCGGCCATGGTTTTTCAATCTCTGGTTAAATTTAATGTCAGGTAACTACGACTTGGAAGTTATCTACCAGTTGTCTGGGAATTCGTTTTTCAAGTTGTAGTTAACAATAAATAAACTGTGATGTTCGATATTTGTGTCTCGTGTCATCCATAACAAATTGTCACTATCTAGCACATTAGATTAAATTTTGCAATTTGGTTCCAACTTTACAGTTACTCCATACATGGTCTTCTGGTTGAAGATGACCACTTTGGGGCCAACTTGATATTGAAAAACTCTTTTTTGCAAGATAACTTCTGGTTAGCAGACAAGATGCAGTTAACTTACGATTAAAGAAAAAACGGCAGCCAACTTGTAAATAGTGTAATCAGGAATCGTACGTTTTTGACCCCGTAGGTAGAAAGAGCGAAAGATTGTGTGGGTGACATTCAGACGCCATTTTGAAGGTTTTTTTCGTAAGAAATCATATATTCTTAACCCCGTAACCGTAAAGAGCAGAAAATGTTATCGAACGTCTTTAAGTATGATATTGACCACAATGTGATTTAGAGTTCAACTACTTTCAAGGTAAGGTCGCATTCAAACATCACGCTACATATCCTTTCCATATATGGTCATTACGATCATTTTCTCGTTCTTTTTCAAAAAGCTATGGTTTCATTCTAAATCTTCAAGTTGTAAGTATAAATATATAAATGGTTTCCAAGGTCAATGTCGCTATTGGCTTGTTCTCTCAGAACCCTTCCGTTTTTATCTGAGCTATTTTCTTTTGTTTGACCAACACACCGTCGGTGCCGAGACTATCCGCTAGACTCATAGATCATTCGGGCAGCGTTCCCATAAACACCATCAAGCATGCATAATGTAGCACCACAAAATGTGAGCAGTATTCGAGGCTAAGTTTTATACGGGCCTTGTACAGCAGCTGCCGCTATTGACGAGATGTGTCCGGCCTAGTTCAAGTCCTTGGTGATCTGGACTCTGACCAGGCGAAATGAACGGGTCTTTGTTAGGAGTCGTTTATCCATAGAAACCGGATGAGCGCTAGCACGCATTTTTTTCTCAAAGTTACAGTACTGTACAACTGTACAAGATTGTTGCGAACCCAAGCAGTGATAGGTAACGCCCCCAGGTCTCCAAGAGAAAGGAACTCGCTGCTAGTCTTCTTGTCTCCAGCTCACCGGCAAAGATCGGCTTGTCACTCTGAATTCCTGCATGCAGAGTGCAAAAAGCGAGAGCGAACAAAAATGAGTACAAGTTTTTTTTTATTCTAAACAAGTCCAAATATTTCGTATTTGTGAATTATCGGATTGTAGTTATTATACATATCATAAAATAAAGCAAAGCTGTCAATGAGTTTTTCTTACAAAGAAAAAAATCCTCTTTTATTATACGTAAATCAATTATCATAATTATTATAATAGCTATTCTTGGATCCACACTTAAGATGGGATGTTCATATTTTCTATATTTTGAAAAAAGTTAGATATGAATCATATAAAGTTAAATATATCAAAAAAATATTAAAAGAAAAATATATCTATACCTTATACCATAGGTACCTTGATCGAGGGGCACTCAACCTACGGTATATTAGAAATTTGGATGTTTTTCAAAAAATGATTTTAAAAACAATGTTCAACAAACCAAAATTATATCCAATTGATGTCTTATACAAAGGTACACATGTACATGACTTAAAGCAGCTTTATCTCCTACATGGTATAACCAACTATCACAAATTCATCAATAACGACCAAAAAATTAAACAAGATCACCACACAAGGCATAGACTAACAGAAATGGTTGTACCTAGATCATATAAATCTATCACGCGTCGATCATGATCATAAGGTATCTACGCTTTGGGAATAAGTTCAAAAAAAGCTAAAAGAGTCGATTTTTTCCTTGGGAAGCCGTATACAAATTAGTCAATGTGATCAAAGAATTCGTTGATTAGTTGTATCTCTATCCATATTTCAATAAAACAGTTGCAACATCAATGATCTATGTACAGGCAATGCCCTATGGGCTGTTACTTCATATTTATTTACTCATTCTTTGTATTGTGTTTCAAGAGTAAATGATAATCATTATTACTATTCAACTTACAAATGTCTCGAGGCACTAGTCTAGTATAAAATTATAATAATAACAATTTTAATACCACTTAGCACGTTACAACTACTGAATTTTGAATAGTAAATAGTCCAAACCTAATGGAGCAGTGAGACAAAAGCTACCTCCAACCCGCATCATGTTAATGTCGTACTTTATCCGGAGGGTTCACCAGAAATATACCGAAAACCCGCTAACCTTACAATAGCAAAAAAACGTACGGATACCACAGAGTTGACACCCCATTTCGATAATGGACATTAACGCAACTGGAAAGTGCACAAAAACAAGTATGGCCAGCAAAAAGTGGACCCTCTATAAATTATTAGTGTCCTTTACGTAGGTATAAATTCTCTAACTATGAGAGGAGGAAGTTAGTTTACAACGACATAATTTAATATATTCATGAAGTGATTGCAAATACAGGTTTTTAGAGGTAGTGTAAAAATCTATCACAAAAAGCCATCACTGTGGCCGCGAGACGTCTCCGACTCTAAGAATATAATAGTATGAAATGTCAACTTGCTGTGTAGTTCCTACTGTGTAAATAGTTCATTCGGCTCTTGCTTGCTAAGAGCGCTCTGAGCATCACCTATAGCGTCACCTATGCAGAAAATTATTACTGTATATGCTACCCATGAAGTATATCTATCAGCTGTACCAGACGGGTTATTTGTGTTATCTTTTCTGGAGAGAGGTTATGTTCAAAGTTATTAGTTACGATTTTCCCCAGTTTCTTTGCGTTTTCTAAAACCTTGAGACATCGTGTCACTTTTCAAAATACGTAATACCCCTGCTGATATCCTTATCAAAAATGTCTGGGGAAGCTTAAACCAAAGTGCTTTGTATTGACCCAGCCGCATTTATCAGGAACGTGAATTTAACTCTGAGCAATTTATTTTAGGGAATTTTGTTTCTGCCCGGGATTATAAATCAACATAATACCTCCTGGCTGCGGTGGTGTATGCCAGGAAACAAGACGAAATGGTGGGAGATGCTCTGCGTTCAAATTTGATAACGAGCATAGAGAGCAGTAAAGTTCAGCAATAAAGCTAAAAAAAAACAATAAATTAACATTGGATAATGGGAGTTGCTTTATTGACGAAATTCTACTCATTGTTGGATGCTAGTGGTTTGTTTATTGTAGTAGTAGCTGACTCGACATACGTTGTCCTGTCTTTGCTATAAACTAGGATCAATAATGAAAGGGTAAATATATGGAATACGAGTATAGATAATTGTATAGCGAAGTGTTTGGCCCGCCATGTGGCTAGCAAAATACGTTGGCAGCACTGGCATTCTCCCATCAACTTACCTTGAAAGTAGGCATAAAATTATGTCGAATGACTTTTGTTGCGCCAAATGACTTCATTTTAAAGCAATTATTGTATTGCTGGGTATGAGTCAAAAATGTATAGAGTCTGGTCCAATTCCGGAAACCAATGAATGTAGTGGCTCTGATGGTGGTGCCAGCGAAGTTAATTTGAATTTTCCACTGGCGCAGTATAATCCAGGGGCTTTATTTTTAAACTTGGAAAGCCTTGTGGATACACAACGTTCATTTGTCCAATGGCAACGATTTGTTGTGAACTGTAATCGTTTGCCACGTCATAATTGAATGCAGCTCGATTGGGATTGAATGCGACACTTGTGTTGTTGAATATCAGTCCTTAGATCCCGTCCAACTTCATTTCTCGCTCTCGCTGCTCATCAGTCTGACTTCGTAGGGGAACAGGGGGTAAGATGAAAAACGGGGTAAGAAGACGAACGGCTTTCATTTTCAAACTACGCGCAAATAGTGGATCGTACTACTGGCGCCACACAGCGACAATCGACAGGTATTAAAATATGATCGACATGCACGCTGTGCGTTTTTAGTTTCTCTATAGTTGAGCGACGAGTGTTGTGACCTTCCTTGTTGTAATTTATTTGGGGCCTATATTAGTGATTTCTGACGGTTTGCAGATATGTAACTCACTTTCATCTAACGTCATTAATTACTCACACTTAGTAGCAACTATGACAGAAGCATTTTTGATTAATTCGGGTGCGGTAAAATAAAACCTGAAAATTATTCACTTTTGTACTCATGGGGTAAGATGGCGGGGGTAAAATGACGAATTCGTCATCTTACCTCTATAATGCTAATTTTGTTTCAGAATGCCGAGAAAATATAAGCGGAAAAGTAGTAGACGGGAGTGGTCGGATATTGCATTAAAATCGGCCATGCGTGATGTAGAAGAGGGCACATTATCGTGCAATGCTGCTGCTGGAACATATGACATTCCAGAACCGACCCTTCGGCGATATTTGAAGAAGAAAATGGAAGGCGTCGACCTACCACAGCATGCAGGCAGATTCAAGAACACTTTTAATACTGAACAAACACAAGATTTTGTTCGTTACATCCAAGAGTGCAACGCAAGAGGACTTGGTTTAATATTGATACAGGTTCAAAAATTAGCATTTGAATATGCGGAAACAAATGGGATTGAACACAGATTCAACAAGCAAAATAAAATGGCAGGCATTGACTGGTTTAGACAGTTTAGAGCAGAAAACAATCTGAGCTTGCGAAATCCAGAACCAAAATCAATTGCTCGCCTGAGGGGATTCAACAAAGTTGCAGTGGAAAAATTCTTTGATATTTTAAAAGATGTACGACTGAAATATGAGCTACCTCCTGAGCGCATATACAACTCCGACGAGTCAGGTGTTTCCACGGTACCCACCAAATTGCCAAAAATATTAACTCCAACCGGGCAAAGAAGAGTTGCGAAAATAGTGTCGGCGGAAAGAGGTCGAAACACCACAGTCGTATGCGCTATGAATGCGGTTGGTTCATATGTTCCACCATACTTCAATCTTCGCTCGGCGCAGAATGAAGCCCGAATTATTGCACGGGTGTCCTCCTGGAGCTGACGCTTTGGCCCAACCGTCGGGCTGGATGACATCCGACAGTTTCCTTGCTTATTTAAAACATTTTGCTCGTCATACACATCCTTCTACGGATAAGCCATTGTTGTTGATAGTGGACAATCACAGCTCCCATATTTCACTTGGCTCAATCAATTACTGTAGGGATACGGGAATAATATTGGCAGGACTCCCCCCTCACACTAGTCACCGCCTTCAACCCCTGGATGTCAGTTTTTTTGGGCCATTGAAATGATTCTATGGTCAAATGTGCGACGCATTTTTAGTTAATCATCCTGGGTGTCAAATCACAGACCGAAATTTAGGCCCTTTATTTGGAGAGGCCAACAGCAGAGCAGCAACGGTTAATAATGCATTAAAGGGCTTTAAGGCTTGTGGGATAGAACCTTTTAATCCTCTAATATCCGATGACAGCGATTTTGCTCCTGCAATTACAACTGAGCGTGAAAACCCATCAGATGAAGCTGAAGCTCCTATAGAAAAAAGCCGTTCTGATGGCCCAGAGAAAGCTGTCACAAGAAAACGAAACATCGTAAATTCCTCATCTGAAGACGACCAGGACGATTCTATTCCCTTGTCTGTATTGAGCTACGAGATAGAATCTACATCTACACCTGAGGAAAGAGGAGTTGCAGCCGAAGGTTCTTCAGGCACAGTATTTAAAACAGCAAAAGAAGCTGCGAAAAAAAATTTATTTTCGATAGACGATCGGCTGGATCGAGTTGTTCAGACAAGAGCCTGTGGGATTTAAGACCAATTGCAACCTGTGATCGTTCTGGAAAGTCCCAAGTTCGAAAAAATATGTCGGCTTCGATAATTAGCAGCACACCTATGAAGGAAGAGCTGGAACTCAAAAAACAATTAATGGAGGAAAAAGAAAATAAACGTAAATTAAAAGTATCCACTTCAGTAACCAAAGAACCCAAAGACGTAAAAAATAAACCAAAGAAAAAACCTAACAAAGAGCGGGATGACGTTAAGAAAAAGTCGAAAGATGCAAGTAGTGAAGAAAGTAAGCAGAAATATTATTGTCCAGGGTGTGGAGAATTGTATGTCGACCCCCCTACAGAAAATTGGGTCCAGTGTACTGGGTGCTTGGAATGGTGGCACGACAAATGCTCTAGATTTGAGGGCAGGGGTGACTTTAAGTGCGATTTTTGCGACTAGTCATCTTGCCCCAATAGGTTCGTCATCTTACTCATGCCACGGGGTAAGATGACTAAAGTGCAATGTTTTGTTTTAGTTTTTATTGTGAAAAAATGTTTAACTTCCGATGTTTTTTACGTATGCCAAATGAAAGGCAATGAGCAAGGCGTCATTGTGTCTGAGTTGATGTTGCTTAATAAAAAAGTTTACCGTAAAAATAATTGTTTTTCCTTAACATCGCCATCTTACCCCCTGTTCCCCTATATAGCAGATATAAACAGGGTTGTGAAATTTTGTAGTATTCAGTTTTTTGCTAACGACTCACAGTTATATCATAGCTGCAATAATAAAAATTTAGAAATTTCGGATGCACAAATGATAAAGGACCTAAATTGTATTGAAAATTATGCAACAGAACCTAGTCACCGGTTGAATCCCTCTAAATCCAAAGTTATTTTTTCTCCTGATAACCTAAGGTGCCTTATTAAAAATGATTCGAACATAACTCTAAACAGCCTTGCTATTCAGATAGAAGGATCAATTATGTTCCGTCCTCGTCGAAGTAAATATTTAGAATACATATCGTAGTAACCTCTTTTGCTCGTGATAGCAAATTTCATCTGGTTTGTGATAACCATGGAGCAGGACTGTAGGTTTGAACGTGGCAGGATAGGAAGTTGTTAACATATATTTTTTCCTTATTGCCAGATAGATATTAGGTAAGTTATGTGAGGTTGCGTTACATTTTGCTTGTGATGGCAAATTCTATCTGGTTTGTAATAACCCTGGAACAGCATAATAAGAATGCACAAGACTGTTGAGGAAACAGCAGAAGTACCATTTTTCATTAATAACAAATAGAGATTAGGTTCATATATGCGAGACTAGCGTCACATTTTGTTTGGGATAACAAATTCTATCTGGTTTGTGATAGCAATGTAGCAATATAACATCCTCCATTTATAACAGATAAAAATTGGGTACATCTATGTGAGACTAGCGGTATATTTTGCTTGGGATAGCAAATCCCATCTGGTTTGTGATAAGTATGGAACAATATTATATGGATGCACATGAGACGTTAGGAAGTAGCCGAAGTACTATTTTGCATTAATGAACGACAGAGATTAGCTACATCTATGCGAGACTAGCGTTACATTTTGCTTGTGATAGCAAATTCCACGTGGGTTGTGATAACCGTGCAACAGGTATCTAGTTATGAACATGCCAGATTAGAAGACCGCCAATGTACAGGTATATCTTTTTCTTACCACCAGATAAAGAATAGGCACCTTATGCGAGGTTAGCGTGCCTGTGATAGCAAATTTCATTTGGTTTGTGATAACATTGGAATATGTTTGTCAGAATGCGTATGACAGTTTAGGAAACCACTAAAGTACCATTTTCCGCTAATAACAGATAGAGATTAGGTTTTATCTATACGAGACAGCTGAAGTACTATTTTTCATTAACAACATATAGAAATTAGGTACATCTATGGTAGACTAGCGTTACATTTTGCTTGTGATATCAATTTCCACATGGCTGGTGATAACTATGGAGCAGGACTGTACGTATGAACATCTCCAGTTAGGAAACCACCAGAGTTCTAATGTTCAGTAATAAAGGAAGTTAAATATCATTATGCCCGATTAACGTAAAGTAACTTTACTTGAGCGGACGATGCAGACATTACTAAACCTACTAAGGGCAATAATGGACAGCAACCAAGACAGAGTGCATAACTTTGCAGTGAACATCGGGATCCTGGTGTCAGCTTGTCTTTCATTTCGTTACAGCCGACTACGCACTAACGAGTGAAATTTTCTATATAACTTAAGGTCTACCTTGACTGGGGCTCAAAGAAACTGGCAGATGCGGTCAGAGGTATTGAGTTATCCAATTTTTTGTTGTATAATTTCTCGGACAGGGATATTCGTTGGCCAAGGAGGAGTCTCTAGTTTTTGGTCATGCGAGAAGATACCGCATGCTAATCATCAAGAACAACTAGCAGTTTTCTTCTGCGGTGAATGCTTTGCTACCGAATTGATGGGCTGTCGCATATTATACCCATCCTACATCAATAGAATGGAGAGCTTCTGGTTTTCACGTCTGGACCAGGTTGCGGGAAATCTACGGCAATTGTGTAAAGAGAGAAATCTTACTGTCCACGCGTCAAATATAAAATCTAGGAGTAATACTGGTACAAATGAGCTTTTGCGTCAGTGGGACGTGGAAATGGAGCGGGAGCTGCACCTGTCACCGTCCTGATTTTGGCTCAAGTATTCGGTGTTTCTGAAATTTCACTTCTAGAAGTAACGCAAGGATCTGATGGAGAGACTCAGGATGCCGCTCCCACTAATTCGTAAGCTTACATTGGTTATCATCACTGTAAAGCTGTCATTCCAATCCACATATATAATCCATCATGTATTGTGTTTCCTACCTTGAAATTTCTTACCTCACAGGTGATACGAGATTAAGATATAATTGTTTGAGGTATCAGTTTTTGACCCAAAATGTTACTAACGATGCAGACATAAGATGGTTGTTGGAGGGAATTTACAGGCTGAGGCCATTTCAACTGAAATATAGATACTGTGGTTGTTCTCAACCAACCAAAGGGGTTGCTGGTAAGCTCTGTAGATATTTGGATGAGGAAATCAGCAGCACTGCTAGCTCTAACCTCAGGTCAGAGTGTGCAAACTAATTGAAACAGACAACATCCGGATTGAGTTGAATAATACTGAAATTGGGATTTCTCAGCTTTTAAAAGACTCGGGATCACTCACGTGGCAACCACTTAAGTTTTGCGCCCAAATATCTATGCAAAGCATTTATTTGTCACTGTATAGTAACTTTATCATGGTGCCCCGGCTCCCAGAAGGATGAAGTCGGTTTTAGTAGAGAGTGTCAAAGTACATGAAATGCGTCTACCTCTCCGCCGTCTAAATTATAGTAGTATCAGTACCTCTTATGCCAAACAATAGCTTTGCTCACTCGGCATTTGAGGTGAACCAAGTGACCACACCTTAAACATGACTACGTTATTACGTTATTTGCTTGTTACCATGAAATAGATGGTAATTTTTGAACCAGATACGACATATTTCCTATTGCTAAAAGCCTTAACTTGAATTGTTACAATGGAAATGTACATTTAGTTGACATATACATTGTGTAAAATTTGTGAAGTTGTGTACAACCTATGGTTTACTATTACAGAGCGTTAGTGGTATGTTGTTGCAACTAGCTTTGAACATCTACGACATGTATTCTGAATATTTACTTCGACGAGGACTTCACATAATTAAGATCGAACATCACTTACGGGTAAGTTCGTTTGATCATGTATTTAAAAAACTTAGGTCTGCTTGTAGATTATAATCTCAATTTTATTTCTCATGTAAATCATGCAACTAAAAATTGTTATACTGCTTTGCGGCATCTGTATTTAAATAAAGAAATACTTGATTTTAGATCCAAAAAAATATTCTGCGAATCTGTAATATACTATCAAAAATCACATATAGTGATTTAGTAGACAATCCATTCCTAGATTCAATTTCAGCTTCAACTAAACGTCTACAAAACATCTAAAAATTCCTGTTGTAGATTGATTTTCAACTTAAGAAAATATGATGATATTAGTTCACGTTTCGAACAGCTTAGCTGGTTAAATATTGCAAAATTGCTTTATTTACTATCCTTCATTTTTTAAAAATAAGTTGTTAGCTCGTGAATCTATCCATTCAAGAAACATTCGATTCAGTGATACGTGCATTACCATCGACTGCTAAATATCATGATTTAAATAATTTCAAAAAGCAAATTAAGCA